CTTCACCCATGCCGAATCTATGATCTGTACTTCTTGGTGCCCTGCTAGGAGCTCTCTTGGGGCCCTCCTGTGGGGTCTTCGGGCTTCTTGGGCCGTCTTGAGGCTGTCTTGGATATGCTTGAGGCCTGTCCGGCGAGTCTTGGAAGCCTTCTTCTCAGGAGCGGCAGAAGGACGTACACGTACATGAATCCACGTTGGTTTCGAGCGTGCGCACTGCGCGAACGGTCGCATCACGCGGCCGGTCTCGCGGATTGGAGGGCCGTGTTCATGTGCGTGGTTGGGCACGTACGTCTCTTGTGGGCCCCTTATCTTCAGCCGTCGTAGATGCCTGTCCGGCGAGTCTTGGAAGCCTTCTGCCGCCCTCGTGGAGGGCGTTTTGGGCATCTCCAGAGGGCACCGAGGGGGGGGGGTACCCACCCCCCACCCCAGGTGGCCGACTCCTTGCTGCCCCAGCGGGGCCTCCAACCCACCGTGGGTTGGAGGCTCCGCTGGCTCGTGCGCCAGGGAGCTCGCACACCCACGGCCCCTCCCCCTTCCAAGCGTATTCTGGGGCCCCAGGGACGGTGGAGTTGGTCGTCGAGACTACGAGAGCCCCTGACCTTAATAACACAGTGAAGACGTGGCCTCACCGAGGTCCCCGTCTTTACATCAGGGGTACCAATTCTGGGCGGCTTGGTTCGATACATCTGCAGCAGAGACCTCCTGTCCCTAATGCGGTCCCCTCCCAATGGGTCAGGGGTCCTTTTTTGGGTCAATCATTCGGGGTGCAGTCCATGAGGTGCACTTCACTGGTGAAAGTTGCAGTCGTCAACTCCAGTGCTCGTGCAAATGTCCCACCCTCCCACCCGCACTTTTGTTGGCACAGCTCGTGTGGCCATGACCTCAACAGGCGTACGGGCGCGTGGAACTCACACGCGCAGCGACGTCCGCCCTGCAAGTCGCGAACTCGTTGTGGCGAGTGGCGATCGCGACGCCAGCAACATTGATGACAGTGATGATGATGATGACGCCGATGATGATGGTGATGGCCCTGGTGATGTGGACGGTACACTGTCGACGACGACGAGGGTGATGACGCGGGTGATGATGATGATGATGATGATGATGATGCTGATGATGCTGATGATGATGCTGATGCTGATGATGCTGATGATAATGATGGTGGTGATGGTGATGGTGATGGTGATGGTGAGGATGCTGAGGGTGCTGATGATTCTCATGATGTTGCTGCTGAAGATGAACATGATGATTCAAATGCTGATGCTGCTGATGCTGATGCTGATGCCGATGATGATGCTGATGACGATGATGATGATGGTGATGATGATGCTGATGCTGATGATGATGGTGATGCTGGTGATGATGATGGTGAAGATCGTGATCATGATGATGACGATGATGATGATGGTGATGATAATGATGATGATGATGCTGATGATGATGATGATGATGATGATGATGATGATGATGATGATCATGATGATCCGGATGATGCTGATGACGCTGATGATGCTGATGATGTTGATGATGATGGTCGTGTTAGTGATGGTGATGGTGATTGTGATGATGATGGTGCTGATGATTCTGATGATGATGCTGATGCTGCTGCTGCTGCTGATGATGATGCAACTGATGCTGATGCTGCTGGTGATGCTGATGCTGATGCTGCTGATGATGCTGATGATGATGATGATGATGGTCATGACGACGATGATGATGATGGAGATGATGATAATGGTGATGATGACGATGATGATGATGTGGGTGATGATGATGATGATGATGATGATGATGATGATGATGATGATGATGATGAGGATGAGGATGAGGATGAGGATGAGGATGAGGATGAGGATGAGGATGAGGATGATGGTGGTGACGATGATGATGATGGTGATGGTGATGATGATGGTGATGGTGACGATGATGCTGATGATGGTGTTGATGACGGGGTGGGAACGATGACGCTGGCGATGATGATGATGACGATGCTGGCGCTTGTGGTGGTGGTGCTGATGATGAGGAGGAGGAGGAAGAGGAGGAGGAAGTTCCCACGCGTGGGTTCGCGAGGATGACGCCGTTGGCGACGACGGTGATGACGATGTCAGTGATGACGATGACGATGGTCATTCGACGATGGTGATGACGACGATGGCAATGGTAAGCGCTGACAATGAGGATGAACGATTGTGCTGAATCGGCTGATGAGAAAGGGCGCGCCCACATAGGCATCTAGACATCCTGGTGTGCTTTCTTGGAGGCCATTGAGCATTCGTACGGGAGGTTCGTGTCGTGTCGACCGGCGGCGACCCCGCCGCCGGCGTTCAAGTTTGAACGCAGCTGGCGACTCATAATCGGCCCATCGTTGAGAGATTCGGCGTTTCTGAAGCGGCCGATCGTTCAAGGTTGAGCGATTCCCTCGGTGTCAGGAGCCAACGCCGGGGGTCGACACGACGCGAACCTGCCATATGTGCTTGAGCTCATCTGTGCTGCGCTGGTCAGACAACCAAATGGTTTCGGAAGGACTCCGACGTGCGCGCGCGAAGGCGCGCGCGTGGTGCTTGAGTGGTGTTGTTTGACAGAGTTGGTGGGTGCTTCGTGGAGGGTGGACGTTTCCGACGTTTGCCCGCGAGACTGCCCTGCACCGTCACAATTGACATAACGGCTAAACACCTACCCATCGGTCGTTGAAAGTAGGTATTTTTGGAGTCCCAGGTTCCAATCTACTTTAAAGGGGCCTTCCTACTTCAAGGATCGAGTGGCTTCACCTTTTCCGTTCTCTTTCGGAGGCTGGCGGAAACCCAATCCATGTTCAACGCCTTCCTGATTCATGCTTCTACCTACTTCTTCCGACCGATGGGTGTGGTTGTTTTTCAGGAGGGAAAGAAACACCCAGACACAATTAATCGTCGACTCCCTGGAACATATGCGAAATTATGGGAAGTGGGGGGAAGACAACAATCAAGAAAATATGGAAAATATGTGGGCTCGTGTTATTTGTGTTTGCTTCTTTGTGTGTCCCAGGGTCCCTTCAGTCTTATGATTCCAGCGAGCACGCGCGCAGAGTTCTGGTTTCTCGTTTCGCTAACATTGGTACCTGAGATGCATTTGGATCGCCATGTCCTGAAGCTGTTCGGACTTGGTTTTCGAGCGGTGTTTCGGGGGCTTGTTTTCCACCACCACCACCATGAGTAGGAGAGGGAGGGGGTCCTCCTCTTCTTCTTCCGAGAACGGGTCCATCAGTGTTGACGTGCGCGCGCGGCGGCGGCGCGCATGGGCTCCGTAGTTGGTGTTCGTCGCCCCGCTTCTGCAAAACACTACAACTTCTTAGGTTTTCGCACGTGCACTGCATAGTAGTTTCTGCAGGAAATGTCGGGGTGGGGGGAGGTCGATACCAGCCAGGCTGGTATGCTGTTGTTTGACGCCTAGATTGGCCGATCGTGCAGCATATATCTGAAACGCAATGCGCCGCGGGGTGGGTGGGGGGTAAACCTGGTCTCCGTGGGGGGGGGGATAAAGTCTAATCTCTTGGGGGAGGGGAAGAATTTCAAGTAGGCAGAGTTAAAGCCGTCAAGTCCAATGCTCGGGCAACCGTCACACCTTCCCACCCATGAGTTGCTGGCCACACCCAGCTTGCGTAATGTCGCGACTACCCTGTTTATGCATATTCATGATTTCGGTGGGCGGGCGAGGAAAATGGTGCTGGTGATGCTGATGATGATGCTGCAGATACTGGTGCTGATACTGATGCTGATGCTGATGATGGCTGTGATGATGCTAATGATGGTTACGGCCATGATGATGCTGCTGCTGATGATGGTGATGCTGACGATGCTGATGCTGCTGATGATGATGATTCTGATGATGATGACGCTGTGGGTGATGGTGATGGTGAGGGTGATGATGATGATGATGATGATGATGATGATGCTGATGCTGATGCTGATGATAATGCTGATGATGATGCTGATGATGATGATGACGATGATGATGCTGATGATGATGATGACGATGACGATGATGGTGGTGGTGATGCTGCTGCTGATGATGATGATGATTATGATTATTTTGATGCTGCTGCTGATGATGATGATGATGATGATGATGATGCTGATGCTGATGCTGATGATGATGATGATGATGATGATGGTGATGCTGATGATGATGATAATGATAATTATGATGATGATGATGATGATGATGATGATGATGATGATGATGATGATGCTGATGCTGATGTTGCTGCTGCTGATGATGATGATGCTGATCATGATGATGATGATGATGATGATGATGCTGATGATGATGATGATGATGATGCTGACGATGATGATGATGATGATGATGATGATGATGATGATGATGATGATGATGATGATGATGATGATGATGATGATGATGATGATGATGATGATGATGATGATGATGATGATGATGATGATGCTGATGATGCTGATGATGCTGATGCTCACGATGAAAATGGTAATTATGATGACGGGGATGATGACGATGACAGTGTTGACAACGAGGGTATTTTTTCTGGAACTAGTTCTTCACGTGGCTCAGGGGCTGTGCTCGAGCCGCTCAATACCCGCAGAGGGGCAGCAGGAGCCGAGGGCCGCTGCGCGCCGCGCCTCCCGGGAGAGGGCCCCCCGGCGGCGTCGCGTCCTCCAGAGGCTCGCGGCAGCGGCTGCGCGGGGGTCATGGCCGAGGCGCAGCAGCAGCAGCAGCAGCAGCAGCAGCAGCAGCAGCAGCAGCAGCAGCAGCAGCAGCAGCAGTTGGACGGGGGCGAGGCGGCCCAGGAGCAGAGCGCGCCTGGTGCGGCCCCACAGGCGCAGCAGCAGCAGTTGGACGGGGGCGAGGCGGCCCAGGAGCAGGGCGCGCCTGGTGCGGCCCCACAGGCGCAGCAGCAGCAGTTGGACGGGGGCGAGGCGGCCCAGGAGCAGAGCGCGCCTGGTGCGGCCCCACAGGCGCAGCAGCAGCAGTTGGACCAGGGCGAGGCGGCCCAGGAGCAGGGCGCGCCTGGTGCGGCCCCACAGGCGTGCGCGCCTGCCGGGGACGCCGCGGGACCGCCCCGGGAGGCCTCGCAGGAGGCCCCAGTGCCGGCTGCGCCCGGCCCGGCTGCGGAGGCCGCCCCCAGCGCCGCGCGGGGCCCGCCGCTCGTGGCGGGGCTGCTGAGGCCAGGGGGCGCCGCCAGCCTGAGGCCAGAGGTGGCCGAGCTCGTGGCGAAGCGCGGGGTCAGCTTCCACGGCGAGCAGATGGAGCTCGTGGTGGCCTCCCCGGCGGGCAGGCAGGGGGCCTCGGCGGAGCACCCCGCGACCGAGCTGGACAGGTTTGCGGCCGAGCTCGACGGCGGCCTCTCCGAGAGAATGGTGCACAGCTGCACTTGGCTATGGCCGTTGCACGACAGGGCTGCCGTCGACGAGTTCAGGAGAGCAGTTTCCTCACACCTGGTCGAGGACGATGCCGATGTCGAGCTTCCTATCGCGCTGAGTGTGATGGCGAAGCTGTTCATCCTCATGCCTGGGGATGACAGCCTCGTTGTGAAGATCGTGCGAAACACGTATGGCAACAGAACTGCCTATGCCATATTTTGGGGCGAGGTCTATGTACAGCAGCTGTGGCTTTTGGCCATTCTCGCTGCTGTGGCACTGTCTTTACAGACCGTATCAATCTCTCTCGCTGGTGAGGTAATGAATTATGGCACTCTCTTGTGGATCAGCTGGCTCCTCTTGCGCATTTGGTCGCACACCACGGTGATAGGGCTCGGAGGCCCCGTCGACGCTTCAGGCGCTGCCCGCGTGCACGACCATCGGTTCGACCCAGGAAGACTTTACAATCGTCTGACCTGGGTGAACGCTGTAGGTGTTGCCCTCCTAACACTTCTGTTCATTTGCCTGAACGTCTTTGCGGTGCTCTGCTACCTTCAGCTCATGGTCTGGCTGTGGTACGACTGGGGTGACTGCATCACGCTCGGTTGCAAGAGCCCCGACGAGAAGCATGGCTTCATAGGTGTTGTAGCCGAGATCTTGTTGGATGTTGGCTTTGCTCTGGTGATTGTGATGATACGCGCCTTGGCAAATCTGTTTGGAAGCTGGGCCGCCACGTGGCACAACGTAGAGTTCGCGATCGACCGAAGGATCATTGCAAAGGTGTACACAATGCTGGTGGAGGCCGTGGACACGATCGGGCCCTTTTTGCTCTTCGGCCTGTTGTTCGTCACTCCGTGGTCTGGCTCGGTCCAGCACGACCTTCCCGAGGCCGACTGCTCCGACGCGATGCTCTACGGCCTGGTTGGGAGGAGCTCGTTCTCCTGCCTGGTCCGCCGGGTCAGCGTCGAGAATCGCCGCTGGGTCTACAGGCGGATGATGAGGGGCCCGCTGATGATGGCCCCTTTCATCAGGCTCCTCACGAAGTGTGTGATCCCCATGGTCGCTCGCCTCCTGAACAAGTACGAGGTGCCCCCATGCGGCCCCTGCAGGTGTCCCAGCGACGCCATTAACGCGCTGATCCGCCTGGTGGGGCTCATCTTCGCCCTCGACGGCGATAGCGTCGGCGGGTTCCGCTTCGTGTTCTCTGGGGACCCGTTCCCCAGCTCACGGAAGGCCGCCGAGGCCCCGCCGCCGGCGAGCGCCGACCTCGACGGACAGGACGCGGCGCTTGCGGATGGCGCCGAAGGCACCGAGCAGCTTCTCGACGGCGCCCTGGAGGAGATGAAGTTGAAGGAGTTCGAGGTGGATGAGGAGGTGAACGAGGTGAAGCTCAGCCTGCTGTTCCTCGTCATGTTCGGCCCGATCGCGCCCGAAGGCGTCTTCACCACGCTGCTCGCCAGGATGATGGAGTCCTGGTTCGACCTGTCGAAGCTTCTGTTTTTGAAGCGGCGGCCATTTCCGGACCAGGGCATGAGCATCGCTGTCATGCATTTCCGGATGAAGGGCTTCATCGTGGTTACGATCGTTGTCAAAGTGGTTTGGTCGTTTGTTTTGTCCCTCGTCGTGTTCGCCTAGCCGGGCTGGTTGTGAGAGGTCAGGGTCTGATGTCCACCTCCGGACCATGTGGTGTGCAGGCAGCAGAGTGCACGTGGATGCGTGGAAGTGTTGGGGATGGCCGAGCGAGGCGCACCCTGCCTCCCTCTCCTCCATCCTGCCTCTCTCCCCTCCCCCCCTCGCCTCCTCCCCCCCCCGGGGCTCTTCTCCCCCTCCCTTCGCGTCCCTCGCCATCCTGTGCTGAACTGCTGCTGCTGCTGACCCTTCGGACGCCGTTGGTGCAAAGTCCACCAGTGGCCGATCTCCGAGGCGCACATGCCCGTGAACGTCTCCGTGCCGATGCTCCGTCGCAGCCGTGCTGAAGATGTGCCGCAAGTGTCGTGTCTGAAAGGGGATGGAGCGCCAAGGTGCACCTTCCGACAGGCCTCGTGAGTTCCAGCGTGCTCAGCAGGTCAGTGCTTCGCCTCGTCGGAGAGAAAAAACACTTTCTCTGCGGCTGTTAGCCGCCCCCCATATGCAGCACGCCCCAGGCCCTCCGTGCTCCCCCCCAGGGCGCGCGGGCCTGTGGGTCCTTCGTTCCACGTCGACTGCCCCGCGGCGGCCCTGATGGACGGGCTGGTATGGCAGCCTTCGGTATTCCTCGGTCGGCTCTCGCGACAGAGGCCTGCGTGCCCTTCACTGGCCATGGCTCCTTAGACGTGGCGAATGGGATATTGGGATGCAGGGTCATGGACGCGGTTGTCCGCTAGCGGTTGCGAACACAACAGTATCCCCACCAGCCCATTCAGAAGCCCTGCCATCGAGAGTTGACGGGAAAAGGGACGAAGCGACACATCTAGGGAAACAAAGCGAGCAACCAGGGTGAATTGAGAGATCTCTGGGAGCAGGGGGGTGGCCTTGGAAGGCCTCTTCGGGCCATCCCTGGGGGCCGCGTGGGGGCGAGGGAGGAGGAGGAGGACGAGGAGGAGGAGGAGGAGGAGGAGGAGGAGGAGGAGGAGGAGGAGGAGGAGGACGAGGAGGACGAGGAGGACGAGGAGGACGAGGACCCGGATGAGGACGAGGACGAGGAGGACGAGGACTAGGATGAGGACGACGCGGGCGAGGACCCATGGAACTATCTAGAGGTATTCTTGCGGCTGCTGCTGCTGCTGCTGGTGCTCTCTGGGAGTTGTGCGGGCCTTCTTGGAACCCTCTTGGTAACCCTGGAAGGCTTCTTGGGATCATCTTGGAGGCCATCGATTACAGGATGGGGGGGTCCCAACTCAGCTCACCCCTCGGGAGCTGGCAAGCCGCTTCTTGGGGCTCTCTTGGAGCGCTCTTGGGCGCTCTGGGAGCGGTCTTGGGGCATAGCCATCTTGGAGGTCAGATTGGGCTCTCTGAGGCCGCTCGGGGGCCTCTTGAAGGCCTCTCGGGTGCCTCTTGGGGCCCTCTTGGGACCCTCTTGGGGCCCTCTTTGGGCTTTCTTGGGGCGTTGTTGGGGGCCCTGGAGCGCCTCTTTGGGCCATCTTCGAGGCTATCGATCAAAGGAGGGAGGGTCCCGATCCCCCCCCCCTCGGGGACAACTATCCTCGTGAGGGGTGTCAAACATTGGCCCTCCCAGGGGCCGAACAAGGGTCCTCCAACCACCCGCGACCGCCGCCCAACAAGTCCAGGGGATGGGGTAGGGGGAGGGGTCAAGACGCTCTCCCCGCCCGCAAGCCGTCTCGCTCACTCCCACCCGCCATCCCAACACATACGTAGCACCGTGCCTGGCCCGAGCCACAGCATATTCAGCAGTCGTCTTTGGATGGGCAGCTACTGGGGGCCAATCTGCCGCCGCCGCCGCCGCCTCCGCCGCCGCCGCCGCCCGCCGCCGCCGCCGCCGCCGCTGTCCGCCGCCGCCGCCGCCGCGCCGCCGCCGCCGCCGTCCGCCGCCGCCGCGCCGCCCGCTGCCGCCGCCGCCGTCGCCCCCGTTGCCGAATCGCCGCCGCCGCAGCCGCTGCCGCTGCAGCCGCTGCCCCCACCGCTGCCGCCGCCGCCGCCGCCCGCCGCTGTCCGCCGCCGCCGCCGCCACTGCGCCGCCCGCCGCTGCCGCCGCCTCCGCTGCCGCCGCCGCCGCCCCCCGCTGCCCGAGTCGCCGCGCCGCAGCCGCTGCCGCCGCAGCCGCCCGCTGCCGCCGCCGCCGCCGCCGCCGCCGCCGCCGCCGCCGCCCCCGCCGCCGCCGCCGCCACCGACGCCGCCACAGCCGCAGCCGCCGCAGCCGCTGCCCCCGCCGCAGCTGCCGCAGCCGCAGCCGCCGCCGCCGCTAAGTGACCTCTGGAATGTTTTTCTGACAGGGATGGCGGGAGGAGGCCGCATCGGGTTCGCTGCGCATGCACCGAATTTGGAGGCAGAGTGTGTGTTGCATTGTTCTTTTGCAAGGGATGGTGGGGGGGCCCTCATTGGCTCGGGTTGGCTCCCAGTCGCCCGGGGGAGGGGGTGTATATTAATAGGGAATTGGTAACCCCCTTCCGAAGGAGAAGAGGGTCTTGGTTAAGAGGAAAGAACAGCTCCCGTTATACCACCTACGCCCAGAGGGTTGGCGGGATTATGTAAATTATTCGATCGCACGCGAAGTTGCCGAACAACCTCTAAGATGCTTGCGTAACCCTGCTCAATCGTTATCGACCTCCTTCTTTGCTATCGCTCTGCGTGCCAAGGAAGAGTAGGCGTATCTTTTGTCAAGTGCGAGCGGCCTCTCGAACTGGCACGAGCCATAACAGTTTCCACACATCTATTCGCACTACCTGATGTCTGCTATTGCACATGCATGCTTGCTGAAACGGGGAAGGATAAACATAGAACCGTCTACCAGACATTGTATTGATGATGGTGATGGTTGTGATTATGAGGATGGTCATGGTAATGTTATGGTAATGATGAGGTGGGTGATGATGATGTTGCTGCTGCTGATTATGATGATGCTGATGATGCTGATGCTGCTGATGATGATGACGATGCTGATGCTGCTCCTGATGCTGATGCTGATGCTAATGATGATGTTGTTGATGATGATTATACAGTGTTGGTTGCATACGTCATTTCATAAGCTATGTTGAGTGTGGCTTCGATGGCGACGATGGTGAGTCTACTGGTGATGGTGGTGATGGTGGTAATGATGGTGATGACGACGATGATGCTGATGATGATGCTGATGATGATTTTGTTGATGCTGCTGCTGCTGATGATGATGGTAGTAAGGGTGATCATGGCGAACGTTACGCATGATGGTGCAGCTGGTGATTCTGGTGATGGTATTGCTGCTGCTGTTGCTGATGATGATGATGATGATGCTGATGCTGATGCTGCTGCCGATGATGATGATGATGATGATGATGATGATGATGATGATGATGATGATGATGATGATGATGATGATGATGATGATGATGATGATGATGATGATGCGTGTACTGTTGATGATAATAATGCTGATTCTGATGCTGCTGATGATGATGCTGTTGTTGCTGCTGATGGTGATAATGATGATTCTGGTGAGGAGGATGGTGATTCGTGTGGTGATGATTGTTAAAGGCAGACGTCATGGCACCAGCCGTGACTATCTAGAGGGTGTGAAGACGAGGACGATGACGCGCCCAGGCTTGCACTCGGGGTCAGCAATCCATGCTCCATGCTTCATGCCCCTAGCTGTCCTGATTCGCCCGCGTCGAAACGCAACACGTGACATGTTCAAACTGTACGTGCTGACGCGCTGCGTATTGGTTCGGCCCGTGTTGGTCCGCGTTTTGGCGAACGTATCGCGTTAAACCTACGTTTTCAGTTTACGTGTTGAGCTCCGTGTCAACACGCTGCCTGTTGCGTGTTGCGTATCGGGGCAGCTAAAATCATGCTCCCCCGCCCTGGTCGAGCGCCGGCTGGGGGCGGCCAGGCCCTCCTGCTCTTCTGCGGCTCGGGGCTGGCGAACGTGGCCGTCACGTGCGCCAGCCGCCGCCGCCGCCTGTTTCTGGGCCTCCCAGATGGGGTCCGAGTAGATGGGGCCGGAGGATCGCACCGCATCGACGATGCGTCGCCGATGCGGCTCGATGTGGAGTCCGATTTGCTCAACGTCGAAGGCGCTCGCCGGCGCGTCGGCGATGCATCGCCGATGCATCGCTGGTGCATTGCCGATGCAATGCCGATGCATCGCCTATGTATCGGCGATGCGGCGCCATTGTCCGACCCCATCTACTCTGACGCTATCTACTCCGACCCCATCTAGGAGGTCTCTACTGTTGCCGTCGTCGCCGTGGTGGTCTTCGTTGTGGTTCTCTTCCTCGTCGTCTGCGTCGTCGTGGTCGTCGTGTTTGTCGTCGTCGTCGTCGTGGTGGTCGTGGTCGTCGTTTTGTCCTCTTCCTCGTGGTCTCCGCCGTCGTGGTCGTCGCGTTCGTCGTCATGGTCGCCGTCGGCATCCATCTTCCGTGTCTCCCTCGTCCTCCTCGGCCCTCCTGCTCGTGGTCGTCCTCCTCCTTGTCCTCTCTCCTTCGCCTCCTCCAGTCGCCCATGGCCCTTATACTCTGTCCCCCTCCTCCTCCTCCTCCTCCTCCTCCTCCTCCTCCTCTTTCCCCTCCTCCTCCTCCTCATCCTCCTCCTCCTCCTCCTCCTCCTCCTCCTCCTCCTCCTCCTCCTCCTCCTCCTCCTCCCCCTCCTCCTCCTGACGAGAGGCTGGGGGCGCGGGCCTTCCCCCCGCCACACTCTGCCGTGGCCACGGAATGGAGGGCTGGTGGATTCCAAGATGTGTTTCTCGCCCTCAGCAGGCGCCACGCACGTTCGTCTGAAGACTCTGTGATGGACCATTTGGTGTTGGAATTTATGTCTCCCAGGACAGGACGACGGGCCCAGGAAAGGGGGGGAGCGGCGGGGAGGGGTCCCGGACCCCGGGCTGGACCCAGACGGTGCTTTGGCGATCTCGTGGGCCGTTTTCGTTCCGACTGCGTTTTGCGGTATAAAGGCGGATCGAAAATCAAACGAGGGAGAACGAGAACAAAACGAGAACGAAAGACACCGTTGAGGTGGTGGTGTCCATGTGCTGCTGGAATTTATCCAGCTGCTTGCGGCAAGCCCCGCCACCGTACCCTTGCAGCAGCGTGGCAGGAAGGAGCTGGAGACGACGGCCCCCCCGCGGAGGAGGTGGGGGAGGGCTGCGCTGTGCAGCCGTATCCCTGGAGCGTTCAATGCCCCACTGCGCCGTCAACCAGCGACGGGTGTCCTGGCACGAGCACGGCTTGCCCATCCGCCGACGAAGCCGACGCCGACGACGGCGATGCCGACGCTGACGCCGACGCCGACGCCGACGCCGACGACGACGACCCCGACGACGCCGACGCCGACGCCGAAGACCTGGGGACAGACGCCGACGCCGACGCCGACGACGCCGACGACGACAACAACCACGACGCTCACGACGCCGAAGCCGACGCCGAAAACCTGGGGACAGACCACCGTGGGGAAGTGGCGGATCCGCCGTCACAGACACGAGACGACGGAGGCCGCGGCCAT